TGATTACAATTTTTCCGCTTTTTTTCCGAGTTGTTTCTTGTATTTCCCGAAAAAAATTTAAAAAAAGTAGTTAAGACGTTACAATCTCGATTTATTTTCAGGAAAAGTTAAATGGAAAATACTATTTGTTGATATCTTCATTCAATTAACTTTTTACTGAATATCTTTTATTTTTTTAATGTCAAACTTAATACAGGTTTTTTGGATACAATCTAACGGTGTATAATCCTATATTCTTAAAAATGTAACTACATATTTTACAAATTTTGAAACCTATGTAAAATTTACTCGCTACTGATGTTAGACATGATAATTTAAAAAATCTGCTTTTTTATAATTTGTTACTTCGTACAACTAATTTAAAAAAAATATATATTATAATTCATTTTTTGGTATGATACATTTGAAAATAAATTTTACGCAGAATTCAAAAATTGGAAATTGCCCAAAAATATCGCATATGCCACTAAATTGTACCCAATGAACTCAATAAAAGAACTACACCAAATAAAAAAATTTTAACAAATAAAAAGCTTATCAACATTCTAGGAAAGAATTCATTCAACAATTCAGTCTTAAATTATTCTAATAATAATAATGATAATTTTATCCCTAGAATCCGACAAAATTCACCCGACAGAGAGGCCCCAGTTCAACACCGAACTCGTTTGGGAAGTAGAGAAGAAAGAACTGCGTAAGATCCGCAGCGCCAATCAGCCTCTACGCGTAGAATGCATAACAACTGACGCGCAGAACAGGAGGGAACGGGTAGGCTTCGCCCTATTGAGCCTTAGGAGCGCCCATATCATCCCCCTAAAATGTTCGAGTCAGGAAGTGGGCGCCAAGTGGCACAAGCTCATAGGATGCCAAGCCGACAAGAAGCAGAGCCATCCCGAGCTGTATTTGTCCCTAGCTGTGAGGGATCACCTCTTAAATGAAGTAGAGCAATCTAGTTCAGTGGAACAGATGCCTTACATATCCGAGGAAGAGGTGAGCGTTGGGGAAGAAATGTCAACTTCTCCGTTTCCTATTTCATATTTGGATGATGGTTATATTCAGATTGGTAATGAAGAAGATGCTTTAAGAACGTTCACACTGAACCTCCTAGTTGAGGAAGTAGTCAATTTGGACACGCTTCTCCCAGAGATCCTGGTATTCAGCCAAAATAAAGAAAAATATTACTTGTCGTTTCGAATTCTGGGCGTCACCATCAAAACCAAACCGTTTCGGAAAGAGTTGCATAATTGTATCGTCCTAAATGAAAAAGTCGTGGTGAAGATACTTTCAGACGAAAACACTTTGGACGAATTTTTCAAGACCCAAAGCATCTCCATTAACTTTTGTTGCGGTCCAGACAAACTCGGCACTACCAACGTCGAACTAAACAACGTATTCACCACGAAGAATTCGAAATGCTTCTTTAAATTTCCATCGCCAAACGGCATAGTACCTTTTGGTAGCACTGCGAAATCCCCCTGTATATCCATCCAAACCTGGCTGGAGCACTGCCCAGACGAACTCCAAACCGAAAAGGAAGAAGAGAAACCAAAGCCCAAAATGGTGTTCTCGAACATACCGAAACTGCCAAACTGTAGCGGAGACGAAACAAATGGTTCCTATATCTTGGACAAACTAGAAAAAACTGACGTTAAAGCGCACTCCGACATGGAGCAACCAAGTAAAGCAAGTATCGCACAACCATTTGTAACGAAATCTGTAGATACTATAATCAGAAGCATCCCATTGTCTCCGAAAAATATTAACCCTTTGGACGTGTATAAAAAATACGTATTGGAAGTTTCCCTAAGGAGCCTTATATGGAAAAAGTCACCCAAGGACACCAAAATCATATTCAAATTCCTCCACCCAAAAGCTGCAAGCTATATAACTATTTTCACCGAGATCAGTGATGAAACAGGCGAATTTATCACCCTGAAAAATTTGAGCGTTAAACTTATATACATTTCTACAGTAGACAAGGCGATGAATTTACTAAATGCTTGGCCTCCGAAACTAGTGTTAACGGACGAGAAAGAAAAATGTTTGAACGAAGAATACGAGTTCAACGCAATGGTTTCCAATAATATACGTACTGAGAAAGATGTAGCGTTGAAAACAGTTCGAACCCTCGAACCACTTGCTAAACTAAATGTCCTGTTAACCTGGAATGAATTTGATTTGGAAGAGACTGATACAAACTCCAATTTAGTTCTATATCCTGCGATTTTAGACGAGTTGATATCCGTGAAAGAAATTAGTGATATAGAGAAGTGGAAGATGAAGCAAAGGGACAAATTCGACGAAGAGTTAGAAAAAATTAAAAATAAGGAACTGAATGCGTTGCAGCAAGAGTGGGAACAAAAGAAATCGCAGTTAGAGGAACAGTTAATCAAAAGCGTGAACAAATGTAAGAAGTTACAAGAAAATTTGCAAGACAAAGTTAACTCCTTTAAGATCGAGAAGGGTTTGATACGAAAGAGAAATAACAGCGTCAATCTGTATGAAGAAATCCTGAGGGAAAACTGGAAAAACTACAGTACTGGAAACAGTAAGGAACTTATAGAACTACTAAGCAAAACTCAAAGAGATAACGAGCACCTTATGGAAATGATCAGCAAACAGCGGAAAAAGCTCCAGTCGGTAGAAAAATCGACGCTCACTAAAACTCAAACAACGAATCTCTTGCAGGAACTCAGAGTGTTAGAAGAAAAATTTGAGGACGCTCAAAATGCCAAGTGGTACTTCAAAGAGCAATGGAAAAGAGCTTGTGACGAAATCCACGACTTGAAGAGAGAAGATTTCTTAAATATGCAGAATCAATTACAGCAAAATAAAGACGAGCTGAGTCAGCTCAGTTTAGAAAAGTTCGCTGGTTCCTTGGAAAATTTTAGTCCCAGTTCCATAATGAGTGGGAGAAGTAGTAGCATATTTTTTTAACTGTAGTATATTTATAAAATAAATAAATAACTACGCGTATTGTTTTTATTTATACACGCTGAGTCATTAGTAATGGTACACAGCTTAATGGCATATTGTTAACGTCAAAATATAGTGATTGAACCAAACATGCCTTAATCAATTATTGCTCCTTTTCGTTCTACAGGGTGTTAAAAGTTGAAAAAATATTTTCCTTTTTTATCTACATTTTAAGTATGTATGGACCGATTGTTTGGAAAATTTTTAGTTTTACATTTTTTGAGGAGGCAAATACAAATATGCAAACAGTGTTGGGGTAACGTCTAGAGGGCGCTAGTTATACTATCCTATCAATGTAAAAATCTATCTAACTTTTTGTATTTTACAATTTTGATTTTTTTAACTACAAATTATTGAAATACGTTCAATTCTAAATAAAAAAGGTATACTAGTTACAAATCGATAAACTAAACCGTTTTCGAGATACAGACGTTTCAAGTTTTCGAGATTCGGCGGGAATTAAATTAGAAAATTAGCAGGTCTTAAGATACCAAGCCTGAATTAAGAATTAAGACAAACATTACAGCAATTAAAAATTTTATTATGCATATCTTAACAAATTATTAACTACCAGCAACTTCAAATACTTCAATGCACTTCCTTATCCTTTTATTAACATATTCTGTTCTCTAAAAAATAACGACAAGGAAAAACAATTTAACAATTTCTAGGTAAAAAATTCAGAATTATAAAATATAAAAAGTTAGACATATTTTTACATTGACAGGGCAGTACAACTAGCGCCCCCCTAGACGTGACCTCAACACTATTTGCATATTCTTATTTGCCACCTCAAAAAACGTAAAACTACATATTTTCAAAACAATCGGTCCAAACATACTTAAAATATAGATAAAAAAAGAAAATATTTTTTCAACTTTAACACCCTGTATAACGAAAATGAGCAACAATTGATTAAGGCATGTTTGGCTCAATCGCTGTATTTTGACGTTAACATTCTGCCATTAAGCTATGTACCATTATTAATGACTCACCCTGTATATAAAATAGCAAAGGAAGTATCATTACATGAACCAAACTTTACCACTAGATTCTACGACGAAAATTAATGGCAAAAATTCATATACAATGTTGCTCATAAGTTTTTGTGATACAGGGTGTTGAAGTTGAAAAAAAAACATTTTCTTTAATATCTTTCTACTACTTCTAGCTAATTTCGAGAAATTTCGTATCCGGCGGTTTTTTTGGGATGAGAAATTCGAATTTATTGACAATTTCATTGTATCTTCTAGAGGGCGCCACAAGCAATCATTAGGACGCATTTAAATTACCAAAACTTTTTTGTGACACGTTCACTTTGGACTGGAAAAATCTTTTCCCCCAACTTTTCTGCTTAAAAAAGGTATACGTTGCTAAATATCTCTAAAGCCAACCGTTTTCAACAAAAAAGCATTTAAATTTGTAAATGCATAAAAAAATTGTTTAAATGTTATTAAATTTATTGTAATTGTGCACATCAATTAATCTTTTTTTAACAGCTATTGCTTGTAACTAATGAGTTACATATAAATAACGCCGTAATGAATTATTGAAAATGTAATGTATTGCAGTATTACTACCAGATTACTCAACTTATTATTTTAAAAAGTATTACGGTAAATTCAATCTAGTCGAAGCATTTTGTTATGCTAAACGAGCCTCAACAGATAACCGACCGTTAAAGACTCTTTCACTTTATTATTTTATAACATTTGCGATGTCAAGTTAAAATCCACCACTACAACTTACTACAATAATTAAAAGTTACAACGAATTTATTTTGATATATTGTGGTCATCAGCAAATGAATTATAATTTATCTAAAATAGAAGCCAATGTTGTTTATAAATAATCAAAACAGAAGGGGCCCTATATGGGTGCCTTGTGGTATTCCAGAAATACCACAAAATTAAAATCAAATTTTAAATTAATCTGACTGACTTTAGTCCTTAGTTCATTTTCAATTAAATTAACTTCCTGTCATCTTGGCGTTAGGCATATAACTACTATTAAGTCCTTTTTAGCATGGATGGGTGCGCTATGCCTCTGTGTGTCCTTTTTCACATCGCCAATCATAGTGGCCATCTGCAGAAGAAAATCCACAAGACTAGCAGCATTCTTAGGAGGTCTAGTCATATCCCTAGCTTGCCTTTTCACCTCCTTTGCAGTGCAATTTCACCAGGTAAGAACACTTTCAACCTTAAGTGGGTAGGAAGCATTTTGTGTCTGGCTTGCAAGCTTTCGTAACAGTTGTTAATGATTATACAATTCCAAGGTTTGTTGCCACATAGTCGGTATAGACTGCTTGACATTTTGAAAGGTATTTCATCTATCTTCATCAAAAGAAACAGTTGTCTGACCAATAGTTACATTTACTGTGTATGGTGTTCTATTCATTCTCTGTCTTTTACTAAAATTTTAGTATCATTCAGGTTTAGTATAGTGGCCTGTATCTTTGTCACACATTTAGTTTATAAAAAAGCTAATACCCTATGCTGAGAACGATGATTTGTTTTCTTCACTTCGTATATCTTTTGATTGAGCAAACCCTGATTTCTCTACGCTGTTATTCCTTAGACAACCTTGTGTTTCTTTAACCTTGTCAGGTAACTTTTCTTCACTTAAGAACCTATAATGTAGACAATAAGGAAGATATCGACAGCTTTTTCCAAAAAGAATTGCAAGTATATTCCAAGATCCGGGCAAAGTATACATAGGACAAACAAGGACAGAAGCATGAGGTTAAAGGAACACAATTGTCATATAAAGAATAACGACCGATGACGTGGCAACAAACTAAATTAAATATCTTTCAGGCCTTGTTAAGCTACGGCCTTGTCCTGGGTATAGGGGCTGGAGTAGTTCGGGAAACCTCCACCCTCGTGTTGGGCCATTACTTCAAGCGAAGAAGGGAGTTTGTCGAAATGGTTGCCCAAGCTGGAACAGGAGTTGGCGTAGCCCTGTTTTCAGTACTGTACAAAGAAGCTATAGGGTAAGTTATGTTCAATTCATTATTAAAAAATAGAGTTCTATACTCCAGTGCCAAAATATTGACAAATAGAAATCAAACCATAATTTTTACTACTTAATCCAATATAATACCTAATTTTGTGTAGTTTCTACATGGAAATTGTAATAAGCCGATTATTTTGACTAGTATTTCGATAATATTTTCAGCTTGCGTGTGCACACTGCGAATATGTTCTGTTGTCGCAAGTGCTTATTTCGATATTTGCCTATCGTGTATAAAAATAACAGAGACAACTGAGGCTGAATGGTTCGACCTCTTATTGAAATGCCGCCATGTCTCAGTTTCAGTTGAGGCGTGTCAGTGCGCGTCATAGGCGTACACATGAGAAAGTTGTGTTTTTATTTTCACATTTCAATTATGTCAATAAATATTATTTATTAACAATAGAATCACAGGCAGGTGTGAGGGACCAATCTGATAATCGGGGTAGTCGTAAATTAGTACGGAATGTGGATATGGACGGTTAACGATACCGTGGAAATGTGCAGTTTTTTAACAAAATGTCAGGAAATCGTACCTTAAAAAACTGGTGAAAATGTAAAAAAAAAACTAAAAGCGAAACATGTGTTAGAAAAAGGAATTAAATCAGCAATGATGTTAAATATGCTATCCGTAGGAAGATTTAATCGCGAAAGACGAAAATTTGCTTAAATTTTCGTTACTCAACGAAATAATGCTACTGTACTGTACTGTACTGTATGCTACTACATACTGAGAATGGATCACTTCTTACTATTTTGGCACTGGAGTATAAAAGTTTATTTTTTGCTGTCTTTCTATTTCCATTCCTATTTTTAGCAAACTGGGCTGGAGACTCGGCCTGCAAGCGATAACAGGTCTTCTAGCCTTAGCGTTTTTTCTTCCGATAGTTTATAGATCGGCGAATCTATATCACCCTCAAAGACGAGCCATAACTCATTTAAAAAACCAAAGAAAGAAAATGAAAGAGAAGAAGACGCACACGAAGATACCCAAGCCTCCTATGTTTGACTTTAGTCCTTTAAAAAGTCGCGGTCTTAGGGTACTTATGATGGCTTGTGCCTTTGCTGCTCTTGGAGTATATGCCCCAATTTTTTATTTGGTACGTACATTTATGCATTCATTCGCAAATTAATTTATTTGGTCATACCTCCATTTATTCCATATTACAACTTGTTTTAGATGCATATAAATCATTTACAAACTTCTCATTAATAGTTTACTTCTAGATATACCAGGGTTATAGAGAAGGACTGGAAGAGAGTGGTTTGGTGGTACTACAGACCTTCATGGGATTTGCTTCTGCCTTAGGTTGCGTTGGATTTGGTTTGGTTATAGTAAGGCCTAGCACTCAATGTCTCATCTCTAGACAGTACCTGTGCCAAGCTGCCATGGTGGGAATAGGTAAGTTGTCTTTTCTCAAAGAGATAAATGCGATACAAAGATGGGAGATTCTAGAAAATTTTAATATAAATTTGGAAAGTTATTATGCTTCACAAGAGTTTAATGTGCTTTTTCTAGTATCCATTGGGCCTAAACATAATGTTTGCAAACTTATTTTTAACATGAAAGAAGAATATTGTCTGAAGTCTGATTGTTTTGTTGGCTATTTTTGGTTGTAGGTATGAAAGTGTCTTATGTTTCAGTATTAGTCTAGTACGAATAAAATTGTAATCAAGTATTATTGCTATTAGTGGATAGTATTTTATTACAATGGCACATAGATACAGTAATCGCGAATTGGTGATATGCTATGATATACAAGGTAGTTCACAACTTACTTGAAAAAACTTTGTAACTTGCCGCATTAATTCAGTATCGCCAAATAAATTCTAATAAAATATTTTTTTCTGTAACGCGAAAAAAGTTTGAAATTTGTCTCTGTTGACAGGTAACAAAATTTCACTTTTTATGAAACTGCTGTTTTCCCCAGGAAAAAAGTGAGTACTTTTTTCCCGGATATATACAGTATACATAAGGTAGATATTTAATTTTAGAATATTTTATTAGAAGTTACATTTCCTTTACACCAAAAGTACAATTATTAAATGTACATTGCATAAATGACATGTTTCTTAAACTATTCGGTATAACAGTCGAACTTTCTTGTGTATTTTTTTCTGTCATGGACAGAACAGATGTACCTGGTCGCAAATCGGATGTTATTTCAGCACTGCCACACGTTCTAAACACTTTATTAGCTATTTCTGTCCTGTGTGCTACCGATTCATTAATATATCCTTCAACCACCGTTGATGACTTCCAACCGCCATTTTTCTTTAGTGTCATCAAGTCTCCCCTAGATTCAACTAAAAATGTAGCAGACTATCTCCGAAATGAATGATCTGTATATGAGTTAGCATTGTCAAGTTGAAGAAAATTAGCTACTGTTTCAGGTACCTTATAAAACTGATTTTTACCCACAACCTGATTGATACATTTCCCATTGCGATATGCATAAAACAGGCGACGATCTTTTGCTGCTGCTGGACAAAGGGCTATGTATATTCGGTAAAATTTAACATATTCTTCAGTAACTACAAATCTCCTGTTTACATCATTCTTTGTTTGCTTAAGTTTCAAAATTAATAGCGTTCCCGAATCTTCAATATCATCTAATCTTACCTGGCTGATTTCACAAATTCGACAAGCTCCTGCAATCCCAAATACAACAACAACCTTGGCCATTAAATAAACTTCATCAGGAGAGCATTATTTAAAAAATCATTAATTTGTATAATCGTAAAAATCGCAATTTCTTGGGCGTATAACCTTTCCCATTTTGTTTCAGAAATGTAATTAGTTTGAAATATTTTGAAATGTCTATATTATTATTGGATTTTAACATACTTTTAATCATTGAATAATTCAACCACACTGTTGGTGGCTTTTGTTGTTCTGCCAGTTCCACAAAAAAAAGCCAATAACACCGTCTCCGAAAAAGAACTGCATATCTTTTTCATCTTGCATTCCATAAATCTTAAATACGCGGTTTCGTAAATTTTCCGCGATTTAGCTGACAATAATTTTTGTGACGCTACTTTCGCTGCTTCTACTAACTCCGGTGGAGTCAGAAAAAACTCGGAATCAGACATTTTTTAACTTTATATTATTCAAAATAGCTACTAAACAACCACTAAGTTTGCAATTTTTAAATCAAATCACAGAATAAAATTGACAGATATTTGATTACTTTAAAGGTTTCCTTAGCAACGCAGGTGTAATTGTCGCTATAAGTATAACAGCCTACCAATTTAAAACTTTAGTGACTAATATATTGTAATAATGTTTTCTCAATATTAAATCGTTGTTTTTCCCGTCACAGAAAAAAATAGTGTATTATACACGAGAAAAAAGTAGATTTTACCTCTCGGTTTTTTGTATCCCTCCGCTTCGCGTCGGGAGACAACACAACCTCGAGCTAAAATCTAGTAATTTTTTCCCTTGTATAATAAATATCTATACAGGTTTCCAGAAAAATGTTTCCAGGTAACTTCAGCTGATTTGATTTGACAAATGTTTATTTATTCAATATTACTGTGGTTCTAATAGTGCTCTTATTACCGTGGTTTGTTTGCATTAGTCTTACAAGTGTTCAAAATGGCTTGTGTATATTAGGAGCTAGTCATGTGTCAGATGCTTTACTCATGACCTTACCCACCTTCACCATAAAGGAAAGGGAAAATAAAACACTACTTATTATCACATTATTTTTTTTTTTCATTTTTTGTGTGTAAATTCTTTGTACATGCCAACTGACTGTACGTAAAAAATACCAATGGGATGTAAATAAATTTGTAAATGGCTATTCTGATTATGTTTTATGGTATTTGCATGAACTCACTGTACATCTACTTTTTTTTGTGATAAGTTGTGAATCAGCCTGTGTACAGTGAATATGGACAAAATGCTGACGTTACTATCTCCGCGGTCGAAATTATAGAGAGTGACTAAGACTTAATATAAATACACTATTACTATAATGCGCATAAAATATAAAATGATTTTTATAACGGTTCAATATTATTTATCTTTGTGCCGCTCACTACGCACATCGATAGAATCTATAATCGTCTATAGACTGAGTTACACTGAACGTCGATCTATATTCTATCACTGTCTTTTGCACTTGGTAGGGAATAGGGAAATTCTTTTTTAGTGGGTGTAAACGGACTTGATTTAGCCGTCCTGAGAAACGTCATAGCATAAGCATAGACGAGGGGTCTAATTCCATTGCTATAATAAATTTATAAATTAAAAAAACACAACTGGGAGGTTTTAAAATGCTGTAATAATTAAAATGGATCAAAGTGCCGGTTATAGCAAACCGTAAAAAAATATTAGATGTTATGTTTTATTATCTTTTTTCAATATTTTCTATATCTTGTTGCCTTTTACGCAGACACGCCAATGGATTTTCGTTCCTGGCACACTTCATCCCCCTTACTAGTCCAAAAGCTAGCGATGAGTCACTCTCTATAATTACTACCGCGGAGTATAGTAGAATTTTCTGAATTAAAAACTTCCTTTACATTTCAATAGGCATTTCTATCATATCTTATTATTTTCCAATGATGCCAGTATCAACAATGGTCAATATTAGCCAGTTGCTTAAGTGTAAATCTACAGTATACTGGATTCAATCAAAACAAAATGGCAATGCTATATCTTTCTTGACGAATCACTCTATCGATGAACCACAAGTTGGAATAAGTTCGATTTATTTACTTGATTTGTTAAGTTGTTAAAAAAAATCATTTTAATTTGCAAACCATAAACATTATCTTTGCTTTATTTTTTTTTAAAGTATTTAATCGTGGCATCCCTTCAATAATTTTTCTGTTTTGCAGGAATATCTCTTCTAGCCCTCAGTGCTGTACAAGGATATCACGGATACGTCCTATTTGTATGGCTGTATGGTATCTGCTTAGGCGGATTTACATACTCTCTGAAAATGTTCACATTGGAAAGAGTTAAGGGTCGACACTTCACCAAAGCGTGGAGCTTTGTACAGGGTGCTAAGTCGTTACCTGTATTGCTCGGAATACCTATCACCGGGTACATAAACCAAACATACCCCAAGGCGGGATATTATTTTAGTTTTGTTACTACGATTATCGGTAAGTTTTGGTTTCAAGTGCATGTGCAGAATTTCTTTATACACTGTGTCTCAAAATTAGATTACAATATTTTTCTAACCTCTAAAATTAAGAGAAGAAATATGCAAGTAAAATATTGCAGGCTAATTTAAAGACATTATTTCTAAAAATCGGGCTTTCTTCAATATCCCATCAAAATTCTTCTATTTTTGGCTTTCAGGAGCCAGCCTCATGTTTCTAGTGGGCACAAGAAAGGACCACAACCCCATGATAAACAGCAACGCGAACAACTGCAACCTGAACAGCTGCACAATAGCCAATCTAAACCTAAACGACTGCGTTTGTCCTTTAGGCCCCTACAACCCCGTGTATACGCCTGAGCTACCTCCCTACACATTCTACAGACAAGGCAGCAACCACTACGAAAGGATCTTCACGAACTACAGCGACCACTTCGATAAGTCAAACTTGCACAGGCACTCCTACAGGCACAAAATGGAACACTCGCCTCACTGTTTACCCAAGAGCCTGAGTTACGCTGCTAACATCGACCGACCTCCATATCAGCACCCGAAGGGTATGTGCAACCAGGACTATATTAGGTACACCCTGCCTAGGTCGAAGAGAGGAGTTCTTAGGCCAAGTAAAAGTGTCCCGGAAGGGTTAGCTAGGTGGGACTATTGTAGAAGGCCCATCGTAAGAAATATACAAGTTATAGAGCAGATAACGACGTCTGTTTAAGGAATTTTAACAGTATTTCGAGACCACTTCTTAGGTGCTAATTTTTCTAGTCACTAGGTTAGTTCATTACAAAAGACTTAAAACCTTATTGTAGATATAATATTTAATAATTTTTGTTTCCGTTCTACCATAGTCTGCGTCACATTGTGATCACTCTTTTTTAGGTGTGAAATAGCTATATTTTAAGTTGTGAATTAGAATTGTTTAAGGACAAGATGTATTAATAGTCATCACCAGAGTTTGACAATTCAGTATGCGAATAATGCGGCAATAAGGGAGCCTTATGATAATTTGGTAGCATGGACATATAAAGAAATAAAAAAATATTCCACATCCGATCTGTGCCCATCAAATTAATAAATTTATTAAACTATCTCCTAATTTACACTGTGTTGGAGGTTTCTAAAATTCCCCAGCCCTTATTGTTAATGAGATGGAGAACTTGATTTAAAAAAGGACATTTTCATGTGGTTAATCCTATACTATTGTCATATTCTATCCTCTCTAACGCCCTTCTTTCAGTAGCACTAGCTAATAATGTAGCTTCGACCCTGAGGAATTGGGTTAGTGTGTCATTCTCCAACAATTCACCAGGCTCATCAAGCACAGATTGGAGTTTCCCGTTGACACTTTGCATTAAGACTTACTACTGAGCCTTTTCTCAGTTTTATTTTTAGCAGTGGACCTACCATGACACTTTTCGTGACCTTTCATTGCTTTTGGGTTTGGCTAAAGAGTACCTTTGTATCAATCATGAGTCTGTAGTTAATCCTAGATAATTTGGACGCTAGACTGATGATCCAGATCTGAGTCCAAGCTTGTAACAATTTATAAAGATTTTTTTATTGATTATAAGAAGTTTATTTGAAATATTTGATTAATAATGTATGGTTTTAGTGCAGGTAAATGTGTACAACACAATCCTAATGAATACTTGAGATTGTACTTTGTACTGGCCAGGTTACTAATTTGAATCTGGAGAAAACCAGATGATGTCCAGACACAGACAGCACACAAATGTCAAACTCTAGTCATCACATCAAGTGCTTAAAAATGTATTTCATGTGTTGCAAGTTGCAAATAAGATTTTTTCTACAAACGTCTTTTAACAGTACCTAATTCCTTATGTTTATGTCAGTGGTATGAAATTATATTTAAATTTACGTACAGAAAGGGCCAATTTCGACAATTTTAGGGAGTTTTATTATAGTGCTCCAAAGAGATATGCTAAACAAAAAATAATTTAGATCCTAATATTCTTACTCATTTAAGAAATACAGGGCATTTTTCATTTATGGTCTTCTGTGATGTCCAATAATTTTTTTATTCTTGTAAGAGTTTTCTGTTAAATAGTTATATAGTATATAGAATATGGGTTTGTAGAAAAATGATTTTTATATGGACGGACTATCTATATTATTTTAACCAAATATAAGATATTCAGGATATTTTTTTTACATAAAAAAATTTGTTTCCTAATCTTCGGATAAAATTATTTCAAGTACTGTGCCAAAAATGTCTTTTTTTATTTTTGATGTAAAGCAATATTAAAGGTTGTGACTTATTGTTTATATTAAATCAATTTAGAATATAAAATGAGTAGTAAAACAATGAATGTAAAAAATATAGGAGTTAATTCAAAACAAATATATAAGTACTGTAGAAAACAAGAAAAAAGAGGGAACAAATTACACTTAAAATGTAAACATAAAATTACCTAATTATAATAGATAGATAAGTAAATGGTTAAATGATTCGAGACTTAAAAAATATGTTTTTTTCATAAATTTAATTATGAAAAGTACTTGTGTACTTTCTAATTTATTATATTTGTTATGACTGCTTTCTCAAGAAGGTTATAGGTACATTTGTACCTTGCATTTTGCATCATCAATACGTTTTTGATATTAGTACACCTTCTGAAGAAAGATCGTCCAAATGTGTGTTTTTTACTATTCATTATTTTCAAAAATAAAGAATTATTGAAAAAATATTTGCATTTTTATTTAGCATACTGTCGTGGAGCATGATCGTTTGTATCGGCCATATTGACATGGGCCCTCGGTGGA